CGCTATGTGAGATTGACGTCTTCTCCTCTCTCCCATTCTCTCTCTCTCTCTCTCTCTCTCTCTCTCTCTCTCTTTCTCTCTCTCTCTCTCTCCCCCTCTCTCTTTCTCTCTCGGTCGCTCGCTCGCAGGGTATGTTCCCATTTGGGTGAAGTAGGAAATTAAAGAGCAAATTGTCGGGCCCCTGACTGTTCGAACCCAGGACTTTTCAGTTGCGAACCCAACAACCTAACCATTAGACCACAGATGTCAAAATAAAGGCCCAAAGATAGCATCCAGCCCAGCTATTGTATCCGGCACGAAAGAGAATTTTTAGGTAGTCTGTCCTGAGAATCACCATTAGACAGAACCTTACTCAAATTGTAAACAAACTTGTTGCCAAGAAAAGATACTAACATCCGTATTAAGCATTGGCACGAGAGCGAAAATTGATAATATGCATTTTTTAAAAACATAAAAAAAAAATACTAATAATGCATTCTAACTTTCGTTTGCTTTAATTCATATTATGATTAATCCTGCTTACCCGAGCAAAGGAATGAGCGGAGAACCATGATCGCCGATGTCTGTCGCAGATCTGGCACTGGATGATGATCCAGTTCGGCCCGCAGCTCTAAGTTTAATTTAAGTTTGGCCTTCTGAGCACTAAACCGTCAACTCCAGACACTAAACCTTCCGTTGTGCTTGTGTCTCACAGAAAGAAGGCCACACAGCGGTGCACATCTCTACGTGGGAGGGTGATGAGAACTCCTTACGATACCTCTACAGTGTGGGCGCCAACTTCATTGTTCAGGATAAGGTGAGATTGTCTACTTTATTGTTCAAGGTAAAGTAAGGTAAGATGATCTACTTTATTCTTCAAGATAAGACAGGATGGTATACTTTATTGTTCAGAATAAGGTAAGATTGTGTAATTCATTGTTCAAAATAAAATGAGATTTCTTACTTTATTTGTCAGGATAAGGTACGACTGTTTACATTATTGTTCATTGTTCAGAATAAGGTAAGATTGTCTACTTAATTGTTAATTGTTCAAGATTAGGTACAATGGTCTACTTTATTGCCCAAGATAAGGCAAGATGCTCATGGTGTACTTTATTCGTCAGGATAAATTACACTACATTTTGTCAATATATTAAAACACCTACATTTTAAACTTTAAAAAATCTCTAAGTGTGAGGCATCGTGGTGAAAGCAGGCGTTCGTCAAAATAAAGTAATCAAAGAAACTGGCATTTTTTTCTGGCCGTTGGGCAAGGCTCAACACCTTTATGTCCATTTAAAAGCTTATTTCTTTGTGGAATTTTCTGAAAAAGGTTGTCTAAAGCACACAAAATGTAAATTTTCAATTCCAAGGACAAAATACGGAAGTCGCCAAACTTAAATGCCATTTTCTCTCTAAAAATGTTACCTCTGAAACAAGGCGATCCCCACCTGCTTCAATCGCAAAAATCTCGACTTTTATTCTAAACAGAAGGATAATTTTTCAGCAAAAGCAAGAAAAATGAACAGGTTTTAAGATGCTTCCAATAACTTCAAATGCCCCAAAAATGACTAGCGCATGATTCCACTGTGTCGTAATACAATTACAATTTTTCTTCGTCCAGTTGGAGCGCATGCCCTTACATATTGCGGCCGAGCGGGGTCATACCGAGCTCGTGGAGTTCCTCATCTCTCACTGTAAGGCCACTCTCACGGACAGAACTAAGGACGGCAGTACCCTCATACATATCGCCTCCAAACACGGACACCCGGAGACAGCTCTTGCCTTTCTGAAGAAAGGAGTGCCTTTACTTATGCCGAACAAGGTGGATTTTTCGTCTTTTTATTTTGCCTTTGTCCATTATCATAATTTGATTCCGCGTATTGTAGGAGTACCTTTACATATGCCAAACAAGGTAGATCTTTTAAAAAATCTTTTCGGCCCTTGTCCATTATTTTTTTATGTTTCGTATTGCAGGAGT